CCAAAGAGGTGACCATAAAATGATTGATTTCCTGAAATCTTAAAAAAAAAAAAAGAAACGTATCTTATAGTCCCACCTTTGGCTTTTGTCTTTAGACCATATGTTCATAGTGGTGCCCAGGATTTATCTTTGTTCAGAAGTCATTTCGTCATTCTGGCATTGTTACACTTTGGAGAGGCCGAAGATATTTAAAACCATCAATTCTTGGGTCCTCTGTGTGGCTCAGTAGTTTAAGCATCTGACTCTTCATTTCGGCTCAGGTCATGATCTCAGGGTCAGGAGATTGAACCCTGGGGTGGGTTCATCGCTCAGTGTGAAGTCTGATTGAGATTCTCTCTCTTCCTCTGTCCCTCCCACTGCGCATGCACCCCTCCACCCCTGAAATAAATAAATAAATAAAATCTTAAAAACAAAAAACATCAGTTTTTGGCTCCTTTTTGTTTAATGATCCTCCCCTCAATTTATTCCCCTCCACTCTCATTTTACTAAGCAACAAGAAGAAGGCTGCATCACCAACACTTTGCTTGGAAATCTTATCTAGATGACACAGTTTAGTGGGTACATATTTTAATTTCCACAGAGCTGCAGGAACAGTTCAGCTAAGTTTCCTGCCTTCACATAATCAAAGTGCTCCTTCTTCCAACTTCTAATAATATTTTCCTCACTTTATTGTAAGATCTCACTCACAGTGTCCTCGATGTCCAAAGTTTTGCAATCTGTCTCAAGGTTGCAAGCCTTGAAGCCCTCACTAACACCCTTCTCATGGCCACTGATGGATTCCAAAACCATGCTTTGGAATTTTATAGTTTTTGGTATGGCAGCACCTTATTTCCACATAGCAAAATGGATTTCAATTACACATTTATGCATAAAAAATACCCCCAAAGTTGGCATATGGAAAGATGAAAACAAACTTTTGTTATCTTACAGCATTCATTATTTAGGAGCAACCAACAGCAGCTTAGATGGCTGGTTCTTGCTCAGGGTCTCTCAGTGTAGGGCAGGATGAAAGGCTTCACTGGGGAAGATCCCTTTCTGAGCTTCCACACAGGGCTGCTGGAAAGCCTTGGATGATCTTTCTCACTCACATAGGTTTCTCCACAGGATTGCTTCATATTGTGGCAGCTAGATTCCTCCAGGGCAAGCAATCCAATAAAGACCACCCGAATTGAAGTTATAGTCTTTTTATAACCTAATTTAGAAAAGGCACTCCATCACTTCTGCCATTCTATTCACTAGAAGTTAGTCAAAAAGTTCAGCCCACACTCAGAAGGAGAAATTCTATGGGACGTTATACCAAAATCCGGGGATCTTTGGGGGCCCAGTTTAGAGGCTGTCTACTATAGTGATAAGATTATGAATGGTATGCTATTTTTGTGTGTGTAAGAAAAGCAGAAATAGAAACACATATATATCTTTCCTTACAACATCAAAATGAAACGATGTAAGGATAAAACGAAAACTAATAAAAATGGTTTCCTAAAAAAAGAGGTAGAAAATAGAGAGGAAGGGACAAAAGTCAGAACTATATCTCTCCACATGCCTTGTTTAGTAGGTCTGATTGTTGGGAACATGTAACTATTTTACATAATGAAAATCTCAAAAGAAAAGAAACAATCCTTAAATATGAGATCTTTGTTTATATACTTCAACAGTAGTATCAACAGTAATTGAATTGGAGATATCCATAAAAACTGAGAATTTTTCTCCTTTGAAATATATTTCTAAAATAAAATATTTCATGTCCTTGTAACTGAAAAGCTTAGAATCGGTAGCAAAAATAATACCCTAGTAACCAGATTATGGGAACTGAATTTCATTTCCCATTAAAACAAACAAAGGTTCCTAGGGGAAATAATGGATTCCAGGTCTAGAGCTGGAAATGTACAAGATGAATCTGGATATCTTGTGATTGATCACAACAAAGCTATTAAGGTCCATCGGTACCTGATAAGAACACAAAAATGTCAATTGAAGCAGCTCCTTCTGGTCAAAAGATTGGGCAATTAAAATTCCAAAAGGAATAATGACTCTGATGGATTGAAATGTATCACATATACAAAACTCCATTTTTTATGCTCTTTCTAAGGTAAGAGGGTGTCCTTTTGTGTTTGCTAGAACACATTCAATATTTCTGAAAAATGGTTGATAAGGGTTAAGAATCAAGCATATTCCCTGCCTTTCCTATAAGGAATCTATTTCAAGACAATCCTATAGTTTTGAAAAATAATAGTTTATAAATTCAGGAATAAAATTAAATTAGAAAATGACAATTTTACAATCCCTAATGAAATAATGCATCAATGCACTGATCACCCAAGGTTGAAAAACCGTTAGGTAGACGTTTGGTGGGGTTTTTTTATAATGGATGTATTGGGCTGACAACACTTGAACCCTCTAATCAATGGAGCAGACATTTTGTTCTTTTTGATGTGATTTAGTTGAATATATACAGCACTTCTTATGGATTACTCTGGGGAAAAAAAAGAAGAATGTCCTCAAATATCTAAGTCACGTTACTAGTTAACAGGAAGTTTAAGGCTTAGGTGACTACAGTAAATGATGCCCTGAAGATACAATCAACTGTATATACACACACAATACACACACACACACACACACACACACACACACACACACACTGCTTTATCAGAAATTTAAGAATCTAAAGTAACTGTAGGAGAATATTTAAATCATATCAGGGTGTTATAAAGACCTACATAAGTATATAAGCAAAGGCATAATCATTATATAATTATTAAAACCCAGATTTATGAAACCCTTAATACTGAGATTATCATTGAGAAAATTAATCTCTGACTTCAAACACCTCATTTATAGAAACAGATTATTATATAAATGATGGAGAAAGTTAGTGGTCATGGAAATTACTATAGACCCAAACCGGTCTAGAAATGGTGTCTCTACAACTGAATGTCTGCCTCAGAGCCTCTGTTTCCTAATCTATTAAATGGCAAGTTTTTTTTTTTTGTTTTTTTTTTTTGCTTAACACATGGCATTGCAAGAGGACTGGATGGAATAATGTCTTTAAAGTATCTGCAAATCTAAATCAGTCTTCACATAAAGAAATCATAACCATGTAGGATACATAATAGCAACAAGTGAAAGGAACAGACATCATACCCCAGGTATTTCAAGGGGGGAAAAATCACACCATGTCAATAGGGAGTTTATGCAAATTTTCTGGGAAGGTCAGAGCTTGAGTTTATTTATTCCAGAGTGACAGTTTAAGGGATCTTGCCAGGTTATTCTAAATATCGGCCTCAGCATCTGGTACTATGTGCAGTGGATAGTCCAAACGAATGTTTGTTACATAAATGAACGAAGAGGGAGAATATGCTGTTAAGGCAAGTTAGAGTGTCCGCTGAGTTGTATGGGCTCTAGATGAAGACTCCCGCTAATGATGGTACAAAAATCACCTTTGGGGTGCTTATTTGGTTGGGGTAAGTGGCATGCTACCTTGTCCCTTAAGCTTTCATATTTTTCTTCCCTTCAATCAAGGAGTTTCCTTTCTCTCTTAAAATGATTATGTTCCCAAAAGGGCTAAGAAATTTTAAGTGAAAACATGGGAAGATACTGCTCGCTATGGTAAGCAAGAAGAGATATAAACATAATCTTTTGAACTTTTATCAAATTTAGACTCTTTACAAATGAACGAGTTATTTATAAAATTTTCAATCTTTATACATTTTTTTAAAAAACATCCTGAGCTGCTAGGCACTAAATAGTCCTGCTTATAGCAAAAACCCATACATTGCCTCCAGCTAAAATTCAATACTCCCTATTTCTACTTGCATCTTATAAAAATGATATAATTTTTAAATTAAAATTTCTTTACATTCGGGAATAGCCTACTTTGGAATGTCATGAGTTCCTACGTAAAGCGGGGGGGGGGGGGAGTTCTCCATTGTTTTGATTTTACAAGTTGAACATTTCAATAAATCATTTGCATCCACCAGTAATAGCTATGGTCTCCATTTCGCCTAGAAGATGAAAAGCCAGGAGCCACTTTCAGTCATAGTTAACTAAAACGCGTGCATAAATCAGTCCACTCCGGTCCTTCTCGCTGCTTCTTCGCGAGAGGACGTCGGCGAGGGGCTGCCTCGCCTGATTGCTCCAGTCTCCTCAGCAGCAGAGGGATTAGACACATGCGCACGGTTGGTCTCTTTGTGTGCACCAGGAAGGGCTCGGCGTCGATTTACACTTCCTAATGGGGCAAAGACCTGGAACGCGAGCGTGTGCTCAGGGACAAAAATGCACGCACACAAGGCCACTGAAATAAACAATTGTCTCGCTCTCGTTTGCCTTTTCCTCTTTGGGAGCTTCCCCACGGCCCTTTCCCCGGTGTCCAGTTGGGGAGTGGACACTGAGAGCCCCGGAATGAGGAGCCGTGTCCTCAGGAATCCCACACCCGGGAGAGCGATGCGGGCAGAGGGAGCCGGGGGGGGGGGGGGGGGGGGGAGCGCGACCCTGGATCCGGGGCGCGGGAGGAGCTCCCCGCCCGAGTGGCGAGGGATGGAGCGCGTCTTGCGAGCATCTCCGAGCGCAGCCACCCCGCGGGCCAGAGGGAGGGAGCCGGGCGGGCACCTCGGCCCGCGCCCCCCCCTCCGCCCGCCCCTCCCCCCGCCTCGGGGAGCCGCGCGGGTGCGCTCTGGCCAGCTGTGCGCCGCCGAGTGAGGCGACAGCCCGTGGGTGCTGCCGGGGGCGGCGGCGCGGAGGGGGCGCCCGCAGCTGGCGGCAGCGCGGGCCCGGCGCTCGGCTCGCGGCGGGGGGCGGAGGTGAGGACCGGAACGAGGAGGGCGGGCGCTGCTCGCGGCGCCGGGCCGCGTTCCCTGTCCGCGGCCGCCCTGCCACCAGCCCGCGTCCCCGCCGGCGGGAGCTCGGGGGACCGGGCGGCGGCGCGGCTGTGGCGGCGACTGGCTGGATGCGAGACCTGCGCGGACCTGGCGGCGGACGGCGGCTCTCGACTCTGCGAAGCCGATCGCGGAGGGGACGAGCCCGAACGCGCTGGCCATGGCCTCCAACTTTAACGACATAGTCAAGCAGGGCTACGTGAAAATCCGCAGCAGGAAGCTGGGGGTGAGTTGCTCGCTGGGCTCTCTCCTTCCCCTGCTCGCGTTTGGCGCGGCTGGCTGTTGTGGGGGGCGCGGGGGGGCGGGGAGAGGTGACCCGCGCGGGCAAAGAGGGACCCGGCCCTTTCGCAGACAGCCCGCTTGTTGCTCGGCCGGTGTGGGGGCCCGCACTTGCCTGGGGGAGGGGGTCTGCACACCGAGTTGAGGGTTCCGGGAGCGCCTGGGTCCCCATCCTCATGCGCGCGGTGCTGGTTTGGACCAGACTGAGAAGTCATGTAGACGAAGGGGATTGTCAGCTTTAAAAGATGAATGTGCCTAGGAGGGGGTTTTATATATAGTGCAACCCACAGTGGTCTGCTCTCAAAGTGTGCGCCTTTCGGGGAGAATTGCTCGGTGTGCAGGAGGTGGACAGACGCTCCGGTGTGTGTGTTTAGAATCACCATTTTCTAACCCCGCTTCCCAAGCCCATTTCGAAATTCTCTTTTGATGCCCTACCAGCGCCGCGCGTCCCCGCCGGCGACTGCCAGCGACTTTAATGCGCCCTGAGGAGTTGCCCAGTGGCAGGCTCCCTGGCCGTGTGCGCGCCCGGACAGGTGTACCTGCGCCCGTGTGCCGGCGGGTGTGTGCTCACCGCCGCCGACACGGCAGCGTTCGCGACAGCAAAGTTTATGGAGACCTTGTCGTAGTTTTTTCGTGAAAAATGGTCTGCCTGACTTGGGAGAGAAACAGTGTAGACCCCTGGGGGTTCAGAAGTTCTCTAGTGACCAGACGAGGAGGTAAGAGGGACGCGTTGACGGTCTCGGAGGACCCGGGTGCGGAGCGGTGAGGCCAGGAGGGGAGGGGCGGCCACTTGGAAACACAGCTGCCCAGGCTTGGCGGACCCGCGGGAGCGTGCGGGCGACGCGCAGGGGGCCGCGGTGGAGGCGGGGGGGCCCGCGCGCGCGACGGGAGGTGGGCAACCTGGGCAACCGAGAACGACCTTGGCCGGCCGATCCAGAGCAGGAAGGGAAGCTCGGTGTGGGGACGAAAGTGCCCCTTACCGAGCTCCCTGGACGTTTCTCTACCTCACGGTTCTCAAAGTTCCAGTTCTGCGAAGCTCCGGAGTCCTGGGGCAAAGCGGCCTTGAACGAGAACATTCCCCGTGTTCCCTGCTGACTGGGTGAATCCTCCAACTTGGAAAAAAAGGAGGGAGAAGTTCGTTTACTTTCTCACTCAAAAAGAAAGAAAGAAAAATAAGGCTCAATATAGCATTAGCAAATTGAACGAAGGTAGGACAGAACCCCTGAAACCCCTAAAGAGGAAGGGTCACTACGCACCCAGACGTCGCCGTGTCAGGAGTTGGTGGACGCAGGTGTGGGGGGCAGGAGGAAGGGAAAAGGCAGACTTGTCTTTTTTGTGCTGCCTCGGCTGGGTTTCACTTTGAAGATGAAGCCTGTACCCCGAGGAGAGGAGAGACCCACTCTCTCGAACTTCAGCAGCTCTGTAGCAGCGGGGAGTACAGAACTGGGCGACCACAAAGCCGCCCACCTCGCAGCCTGGCGCCTCCGGGCGCCGCCGCGCGCGTACAGGGCCGGAGAGCGCGCGCGCGGTGCAGCCGCTCGGGCCCGGTTCAAGGGCTCTTGGGCAGAAAATTGAGCCTCATTTTTTTTCCCCAGCGAGATAAGGAAGAACCCACGTGTAAAACTGCAGTTGTCCAGGAGGCTGACGGCATCTCTCAGCCGGGACGCACTGCTCAAATCTGTCACCCGCACTGCCCAAACAAGAAAGAGCTGGAGGGGAGAACCGCTTTAGGAAATCGACCTTTGAGGCCCTTTGCTCTCCCACAGGGTGCGGGCTCATCCTTCTCGCTCTTTCCGTCTTGGAATCTCAGTTCTGTCTGACACCTCGGACGTTACAAGCTAATAGATGATTCACGGCCCCCGGGGAGATGTGTATCTGCTTCCACGGAGTCATGGTGTACGTGAGGATGAGACTAAGGAATAGAACCCTGAGAACCGCCGCTCCTTGCGCTGTTGGTCCTGGGGTCTGAAGGATTCCTCTCCCATCCCCAGCTTTCCAGGATTTCATACAACAAAAACTGAATATGCCACCTAGTTAAAATATAGGATCCAAGGAAAGAGCATTGCCTGCTTCTTGGGCAATCATGGTGCTAACAGCCTTTGAAATGTCCTGTTAAAACACCATTCCTCCTGAAGATGTGTGCAAATGTGTTTGCAATCCCAAGGCGTCTGTCTCCTTCCATACTCACTGCCTTCAGAGAAAATAAAAGCATGTTTACATAGAGATTAATTTTATGTGTAGATTAATTTTGTCTTCCATTTCTACTTGAGAAATGTGAACTTCAGAGTTTGGTGTTGAGACAGTTTTGTTTTGTTTTAATATTAAATTGAAATATTAAGCTAAATTACCCTTGATTATTTTGAAGAATTTTATTTATCAAAAAGAACTCTAGAGACTTTCTCTTCAGAATATTCTAGTATTCAGAAGGGTGACTTCACATGACACAACTTCATCTACATGTTTCTGTGAAGCTTGATAAGTAAGTGGGTCTTATTAGATAGTAAAACTCTAAGCAAATAAGGGGTGCCATACACATGAAAAGTCATATCCCAAATCATAGAAACATGACCTATCTAAATATGAAAATTTCATTTTCATAGTTAATAGTACATAATACTAATTTTGTGGACTCGGAACTATGGATTTTTCCAAATAAAATATGGATTTTTCCAAATAAAATATTTTAATTCAGAAGATACATAATGATTCTTCTGTGGTTTATGTTTAGAGCTAAATATCAAAATAAAAATTCTAATGAAATATGCACAGATATTTGATTTATGATGTACAGAACTCATGCTTTCAAAAACCAAATTTTATAATATTCTAAGGGGGAAAAAGAACCCTGGGCACGAGGCCAGTGGTATCAGAGATTATTATGACATGAAAATACATTTTGAGATGAAATGTTCTACCATACCCTTTACTCCTTAAAAGTTAGTGTTCCTTATTGTCCTGAAGGAGAGCAGAAAAGTTCCACTTGCCCTTTAGGCTGGGGGACAACCCTGATGAAGGTGCTTCCAGATTGAAGTGGTTGAAACAGCCCTTGCCAGTCTTCTTAGAGAATCCAGGGCTACCTGTTGAGGACACTTCTCTAGCCAGTTATTTGGGCAAAGTAGAAGTATTACACAATGTTTGGAATGTTTGCTTTGAAATTTGTCTTTACACGTTAATCAGCCTATCTTTTATTCAGGAAAATAATTTTGAAAAAGAAATAGTATTATCCTGGATTTTACCCTTGCCCTTTAAAAATATGTGACATGACTGTTACAGTCATTTCTTCAAAGTCTGTGTTAATTTTTCATTATAACATGTCACTGTTTCTATAGATATACTGTTTTCCTTTTGCTTGATTTAAAAGCCCTTACAATAGTTCAGTTCCTTTTGCCCTCTTATATGTTGCATGATTGGTATTATAATTCACGAGGTACCATGGTAGTCAGTATTTTGTTTTTAAGAAAAGGTTACTTAAAACACTAATTAAAAAAAAAAGCAAATGCATGTTGGTCAAAATTGTTTATCTTTTAGCCCTTATTATCTGTTTCCTTCTGAACACTGATAGGTTAAATTTAGTCAGCAAGGCATATCTTGTAAAATATCCAACGTATTCTTGGTTTGCAGATAAACTAAGAACTCAACCACTGAAACCATTACTAGAACTTTATACATGGCTTATTAACTCTATAATGCAGCAAAGGTAAATGCAGTGTATCATCATCATCACCAGCATTAACCTCACTGTATAAATTCCAGACTGCCATAGTTTGACTAATTCTAGACTCGGCCCTCACATCATTGTTTTTAAGAAATTCTGTTCAAATATAGCAGTGTGAATATTCATGGGCACATTGTACACAGACAAATAGTATTTTACACAGATTGTTTTCTATTTCTTTCTCAAAGTCAGGTGAAGGATTTGTATTGGTTTGTGTGGGTATCAAAGGAATGTCTCTGGGAGACGAACCATGAGAGACGATGGACTCTGAAAAACAAACTGAGGGTTCTAGAGGGGAGGAGGGTAGGGGGATGGGTTAGCCTGGTGATGGGTATTAAAGAGGGCACATTCTGCATGGAGCACTGGGTGTTATGCACAAACAATGAATCATGGAACACTACATCAAAAACTAATGATGTAATATATGGTGATTAACATAACAATAAAAAATTTTTAAAAAAAGAATGTCTCAAGATACAGTTGACATTTGCACATTCAACAAATGATCAAATAATTATGGAGCATCTACTCTTTATCAGGTGGTTGTGTGTGTGTGTGTGTGTGTGTGTGTGTGTGTGTGTGTGTGAGAGAGAGAGAGAGAGAGAGAGAGAGAGAGAGACTGTGAATGTTCCAGAGTCATGTTGTATTGTCAGGGTTAATAACAATAAATAGCTCCTACATCACTACTACTCATAGTATATTAGGCCGGTAATAGTCACTTTACCCCAACCTGGCTGTAAGGGAAGCAGGGAGATGTAGAGGATCACATTTGGAGTGTGTGATGAGCCCCAACTTTATGAGCTGAACATCCATTCAGGATTTTCTCATTTGCATAATCTCCATTTGTTTCAACCAATTTACTGTGGATTTATCTACATCTTGCCCTTTTTCCCTCCTTTTTTTTTGTTTTAGTTTTTTCTCCCTCCTTGATTGAGACACTTCCATCTCTGGGTTGATGACTCTTGATCTTCTTCCTATAAATTCTTTGGGTTTTCCTGTCCTTCCACAAACAGCTTTCTTCTGATGATGGAAGAGAGTAGTTTTTCATTAGAGATATTTAGGAAAATTTACCCCTTTACAGAAGCTCATTCATTAATATAAATGGGAATTTTTGTGGTTTCCCAATTCCCAAAATTCTCTGGTTTCCCAAATATCTAGAAAGTATTTTACAAAGAGTGATTTTATCTTGTATGACATGCATTACCAATTTACCAGGAATTAGACACATTAAA